AACTTGAAAATGTACCACCACATGTTCATGAAGGACCATGGAAAAAATTCATGTTCTTTTGAGAATTTGGATGTGCCTTCATTGTATATGATGAGTTATGTGCAGTCGTGTTGAGCCATCAATGTGATCATGTTGATCCATTGACTTGAGTTGAGCCACCAAGTATTCTTGTTGAGCTATAGAGTTATGGATGTTTCAGCAATGTTTCTGATGAGCCATCAATATTCCAAATGATCGATCAGTGTCTTGATGCTCCATATATGATCTAGATGAGTCATTTGAGATCATGATGATCCAACTAGCTTTCTTCAAGTGCTCCATCTAAGCTGCAAGTGTTCCATGTTCAGCAAGTGCTCTATGTCAACTGCAAGTGCTCCAAGTGAACTTCAAGTGCTCCAACATATGATTCTTCAAACACCTGTTGAATCTTCAGTATCTTTTCAACCTGAAACATTCTGATAATGTTTATTAGAAAATGTAAATCAATACTTAACTTATTTCAAGTGACAATTACATAAAAATATTTCCAACAATTTCCCCTATGTGATGGTTACCGAAATAAGGAGTTGTAAAGAGTGTATAAAAGGAAAAATATTGATTTAATAGGTTACGTTGGGCGTAATCTTCGGATCAGATCGGACGAGTCACCAATTCGGATATTATCCGAATATATAATAAAATTTATATATTTTAATTATTTAAAAACTTCAGAATATCATATCTTCCTCATACGAGCTCCGTTTTCGACATTCTTTATATCCACGCGTAGGAGAGACTAAGCTCTACAACTTTCGTTTAGACTCTGTTGGCGAATTTTGAACTTATTTTTGTTATATTATTTTTAGTAGGCCGTGACAGGAAGACTCCGTTAGAATTTCATAACTTCTTCATCCGATGTCCGTTTTCGTCTGCCTTTTTACCGATGGACTACTAACGGAGAGATCTTCGATTCTTGTTTAGATTGTTTCAACTAAATATCACTCGATCTCAATTTCGAGATTTTTAGGTTGTATACCGCTAAGTCGAAACTTAGAAAAATGATAACTTCCTCATACGAAGTCAGATTTAGACGTTTTTTTTTATGACCGCTCTCGGTTTCACGTATTCTATAATTTTCATTTAAATCACTAAGGCTAAATGCCCCTCTATCGTAAATTCACTATTTACGTCGCGTTGTGTTGTGCTGGTTCTGTCGTTAAACTTCGAGAGGTCATAACTTCTTCGATATAACGCGGATTTCAACGTTCTTTATATGTACGGTAACCTTGTGAAATATACTACAACCTGGTTAAGATGATTTATTCTAGCACTCTTCTATCAAAAAGTCATTTTGATGCTTATTGTCTCTAAATTAACTAGCCCGGATCTATGGACGTTACAAAAGCAATGGCAGGCCCTTGTACTGCCAGGTGGCAAGAAGTTAAGACTACACAAGTTCAATCCATAAGAGTTTGGATTTGTCAAATTCACTTGGATAGGAACACATACACCATAAAGTCTAAGTGTCATAAGGTTTCTCTCCGATTCATGAAAATGATGGTGAGGAAACACTTTCACTAAGTAGATTTTAACTTGATAGCAATTGTGATATTTGCATTCTCAAAGTCATTACTGGAGCATGTGTGGTTAACCGGCACACTAACAAGGACTTGTTAGAAATGACAAAGGTCTAAACAATTGAGACTATGATTACAACATCCCTTTTCATAGTTCTGAAATTGTTTAGACACAAATGTGTGCTATCTAAGGAAAGGTGTATGATTTTGATAAAGTTTATCATAACATCTCGTATCAGAAGTCTGAACTTTGGTAAGGAAGTCAATAAAGTATTAATATCTCGAAGTCCAGCTAATTTCTGAGTACCTGTCAAAGCTAGTGGGAGCATAAGTGTTATGCTATTAATTATCATGTTAGTGGGAGCATGATAATTATGATAAATGTTGCAAGTAAGTAATGTTTATTATAGAAAACAAAAGTTTCAATTGAGAAATAGTTGTTTTGCTATAATTAAGGGAGAGTAAATTATACTTCATGTCATACTCTCGAACCAGACGGCAGAAACGTCTGGGGGCTTGTGCGTGACTTCATCTTGAAATATCATTACAGTGAATATAAATGAAACATAACATCATCATCACACATGTAATATAACAACATTCATTGTTTACATCGAGTATTGTATTCGAATATTACATGCCAAAATAGTAAGAGTATGATGAAACAAAATATAACACAATATCCATTAGTTTGTTTCATTCATCCTGCTTCAACGGTTTCCTGAGAATACAAGTTTATTTAAAAAGGTCAACATAAAAATGTTGGTGAGTTCATAAGCATGTTTGTAAAATGATTTGTATATCTTTGAAACCACCAGAAAATCCTATATTTTCTGCAAACTGTTTAGTATGTTTGTGTCAGATCTTGTATTAATGCATGCATGTTATTGTTTATTTGACTAAAAGGGTAACGAGAATGTAGAGGGAATGTAAAGAGCATGTAAAGAGAATGTTCCCAGACCACTACTAGAAAAAAGGCCTTTTACGACGCTCATTACGCGTCGTAAAACGCTCAGACGACGCGCAAATGCGCGTCAAGGAAGGCCCTGTCATAACGTCGTAAAACGCTTAGACGACACGCTTTTGCGCGTCGTCTATAAATGACGTGCATTTACGACGTGCATTTATGACACGCAATGCGTATCGTTAAAGCTGTTGTCAAGAAAGGCCATGTCATAAATGAAGATGACACACATTTTTGCGTATCGTAATATTAATTTTTTTTTTAGATTTACTAGTTTTTATATTAAATTTGCATTTCATGTCTCATAATAGAAAATAAAATACCGTATACAAAAAATACAATCTATTCTACAAAAGTTAATGTCATACAACTTCTCTGTACAAATGGACACATAGGGAAGAACAAGAATTTCTATACAATGCCTGCATCACTTAGACCTATTTTTTAAACAATTTCATTACTATATATGACAATTTCTAAAAAGCCAACCATGTATGCTTCAGATAGCTCTAGCGACTCATCCACAGATTGGCTATCCATAGCCTGAAAAAATAGAAAGGGCAAATTGGTCATTTTGGGATAAATTTTATTTCCAATGGGTCAAATGGGTAGAGAATGTACCTAAATTTGCAATACGAACCATAGAAGTGACTCCAACTGCAAATTAAAGGTAAAGCAGGTAGGAAGAGAGAACGATAGAGAATCCAAAGTGAATATGATGAGGTGGCAAGTAAGCAAAATAAGAAAAGGTATTACATCATAATCATACCAGTTGAAGTATTCCAAAGATTTGATGGACAACTAATTGAGAGCATCGTGCCTGTATTAGGGGCAATTGTGGAACATAACGTAAGACAAGAAACAAGATTTAAAAAAAAAAGATTTATCAATCTATTTTTTATAAAATATAAAAAGATTTATAAAAAAAGATATAAATGCCCTCTTGATCCTTATCATCAAATGCAATACAAATGACAAGAAACAAGAATATGAATTATAAAGTTTTTTTTTACCTTAGCAAGGAATCCAAAATGACCTAACATGCAACTCCACTTGATAATGTTGTAGGCATACAGCTAAAAAGAGCTAGCCCTGTAAGAAAATAAAAGCAAACTTAATTATTGCATCTAACTGTAAAAGAACAAGATTAAAAGATATACAAAGAGTTGATTGATGCTAGAAAAATAATTCAATTATGTCTGAAGCCACACATGTGTACATAGGCGTGCATCAATGAGATTCAAATCAATAACTTCCTGCCACTCAATTGTTGCCTGTCATTCAAATTTTTTGCTGCCAAATAAGGCCAATTTGCACGCTCTAATAAAACTGCACGAAGCACTTCAGGGTTTATTCCTTTATCAACCTAAAATTACCAATCAAAACAAATTAAATATTTCATATTTGTATTAATTTCATAACTATAAGTACTTGATTACAATATATTTCATATTTGTATTCATTTCACAGCTGGAACTCCTCAAAACTACAGGAACCTTCATCACTGGATCTCATTTTCTTAGCCTCCAAGAAATCACTTTGATTCAGAGGAGCAAATTCATCAAGTCCAGGACTTTTAAAGCATCTTCCCATGTGACTTTTAACCTTCAACTAAAATAATGTTAAAGATAAGGGAGGAGAATGCTTACTTGTATGGAAGCAACAGAGGAGTGACTATAGGTTTGTGGAAGAACACATGCAACTACTTTACACCAGAAATATCCATGTTCTGATATTGCATCTTTAAATTTTAAGAAGCAATTCGAAAATAACCGAGCAAAAAAAGATAAGTTTAAAGAACTTTAATACATTGCAACGCCTTGGAAATCTATAACCAAACCCACAATTATAATCATAATTTAGTAATATAATGTAATATAATATGAATATTATTGAAGATTAAAAAAAATTAACCTGGTGCATTGCTTCCAACACTTCACTCTCTGCACATAATCTATCGAAGTTGTTGATCATGGAAAGAATCTAATCACACAGTTCCATTTGGATGTAGATTTTCTCATTTTCAGCACCACATTTATTTCTGTTACATTTCGTTATAAATGGTAGTTTATGTTGTTACATTTACCACACTTCCAGCTCCCATCAGGCATATCTCCTTCTGAAAACAAAAAAAAATGCAAAATCATATATAATTTATCAAGCATATCTCCTTCTGAAAACATCAAGTTTTACTGAACTACCCACAATAGGTACTCCATTAGGCACTTGATAAGGATTAGATGGAACAATATAGTCTCTGGAGCAACATTTTTTGCTTCCAAAACCACATCGGCCCTATTTATCTTTGCCTTCTCAAGCTTGGGCAACATTGCAGAAGTTCCATATGTTCATTTCCCTATGACTTTACATTGTTTCAAGTGAAGTGTGTATATTATAAACAGAAGGGTATATTTTTCATTTATATAATTTAGAACATAAGCTACAATGGCATACCTTTAACAGCTCAAAATCTACATCATTCAAGTGAAGTATGGTGAAGTGACAGATAGATTTAACCAGAAGGTGGAGTATGGCATGATCTTAATCCTATGCCCCATTATAGACATCTTATGCAGACTCGGTTGTCGATTGAAAAGCACAAAATCTCCATCATTCAATTGCCTCTCCAGCTGTGTAGGATAACAAGGTTATCATTTATCAAGAATGACAACATAATCAAGGATATACAAAAGGTACAACATGCCTTGTATCCAAACTCCAGATGATGATCACCGCTTTTCTTCAAGTAACGAAGATCAAGCCTTTGACCATCGTCCGTGATAATATGCTTGGCTCTAGTTTTACCAGGAGGAGGATGAGGACCATACTCAACAAGCTCCTTAAGCCTAATGGAAAATAGAAGAAAAAACAAGTTTAGCTAAAACTCAAACAGGAAGAAGTATAGAAAAATATAATAAAGCGAAGAAGAAGAAGAAGAAGACCGTTCAATGTTATAAGGATTAAGGAGTAACAGTCTCAGTATAAGTAAGATTCAAAGCAGTACTTCATGGTACTCCCAGTTGATCAATGTTAATGGTTGGACTTGGAGTGATGATTGTACGTGCTGAAAGTCAACCCGCTTCCCCATCAGATTGCCTATGATCCTACCCTCCTTTGCCTTGAGCCTACTGCATATGGATTTAATAGGATGCCCTAACCGTTATGTAGCCTATAGGTGGGATTAACAATATTCTATTTGAGGACAATGTAACTATATTCAACCACATTCATGTACAAAATTCAAGGATTTGAGTTAAGTTCATCTTAACTAATGAACCACGTGAACTCAATACGAAGAATAGCAGTAGAAGAGAAGCAAAATATAAACTGGAGACTGAAAGTCACTGCTCGGTGGTAAATTGTTAACATTTAAAAACGAGAGTCGTGTAATTGAAGAAGATTAAGTATAAGGGGAGAGGGGTTTGAAATAATATGCTAATCGTACCTAGTATCGAGGAATCAAAACAAGAGTCGAAGCGGTTTTTTGATGAATCAGTGATTTTTGGAATCGTCGACAGAATTCCTACCAATGGCCGAATCGGCGATCCAATCATAAATCGGTGATCCAATCGTCAAATAAATCATCAATTCGCTGAACCCAATCGTGAATCCGAGCAACCCAAGTCGATACAAACACATTCCCATCACAAACCGACTGATTGATTGAATCGTGACGATGCTGTAACAGAGAGCGTTTCGGCCGGTGTCAGGATCAATTTTGTACTGCGTTTGGGTACGGAACATTTAGAATGTGGTTCGTGGCCTATTAAGCGACTCATGTGGTTATGGTTTTGGAACTGCAGTGAAGGGTAACACGAATGGAGTCACAATGATGTTTGAGGGGGCAGTATCAACAAAACATGCTTAGGGCTTAGGGCAAAGAGGGAAACAAAAGTGATGGAGAAAAAGAAGGAGGGCTTTTCTAATTTTTAGGATTTCATTTCCCGCTCAAATTTAGTAAAGATGAGGCGCGTTTTAGGTGAAAAAAATTATAAAACGACACTAATCCTAGGGAACGCGAAAATACGTACCCTAAATCCTTTAAATTTTAATAGAGATGACATTTTTTTATGATACCCTCTTTTACGGGTCATAAATCACTGTGTGTCATAGATTACGCGTCATTAAAGCCCTGTTTTCTAGTAGTGGACAGCCCGATGTTGTCTGTAAAAGAGAAAGCTACCATACCAACCCCCGAGGTTGAGTACAAGTACGAGTATGTTTCCGAGTAATCCAAGAGAAAAGAGAATGGTCTTCCGTAAACTTCATAATGTTAATTTCTCTAAGGGAGTTGTCATAACTATACTAACTAATAACAATTTCGCCTGTCTTGGCGTTGTTGGATGTCAATTTTGATTATAAGGTTTTCGTCACCCTAGACTGAGTTAGTCTAACTGTAGCGAACAACTCAGGTGTGGGGTGTCATCCCCGTATAGATCTATACACAAATTCCCGCTCTCCCTCCAAGAGACTCTAGTTATAACTACAGGCTACGATCGTACACTTAATAGGTGCCAATCGACAAAACTCACTAGATCCTTAATCGATTTTACGTGAAGAAAAAGTATAAACTCATTCTATGCCACATGAACCATGTAAGTGAACCATTAGGGCATCACTAAACATGTAAGTCATTTCAAGGCCTAATAGGAATGAGATTATATAACATGGGCCCAAAAAACATGTAGAAGGGACAACTAAGGCCCATTTCACATGTAAGGTATTTATAGGCCCAAATAGCACATAAATAGTATCCAAGGTCCGTCGCACATGTTAATGGGTCAATGAGGCTCAATAACTATATAAGTAGTATACAAGACCTATCAAACATATAAATGGATCACTAAGGCCCAATAACCTAGAAAATGAGCAAATTAATCTGTTTGTTAGTTTATTGTTGGTTTTGGTTCAATTATTCACTAAAATAGCATAAAAGCCCATTTTTTGTAAAAATGACGTTCTTGGCCCAGTAAGCCGAAAATTTACAATTAATGCCCAATTTTTGTAAGAATAACACTTTAGTCTCCATTTTGTTCAAAACTCGTGTTAATGACTAGTTTGTGGTAAAAATAACATTTTAAACCCTTTTTGTCAAAAATATCATTTTTAGCTTGATTTTTGTGAAAACACACATTTTTCTGGTTTTGGGCTTTTCTAACCTAGTTGTTGGAAAATTTGTAGAAAAATCATCGTCAGTCAAAATTTGGATCCGTAAATTCTAAAAGTTTGGAAATTTTGTCTACTTTGTTCACAATGTTTCTCATTATTTTTGATGGCCTCAAACTAGTGTGAAATTACTTACCTTCACAGGTTGGTCCGAAATTATTTCAAATATGATAGACAGTTTTGTAAAATTCGCCAAAAATTATAGAAATATCGTATGTAAATGTGAGAGTAGTCATTTTAAAGATATAAACTTGAAATTTGAGCATGTAAAACAGTTTTGAAAAATATTATCTTTAAGGTGGTCAAAACAGGTCGAGATTGGACCAAAACTTTTCTGTCAAGGGTTGAATTTTACAAAAGAAAAAAATGAATTGAAACATGGTCACTTGGAGTTTCCTAGAAAGGCAAGCACGTGAGAAATATGAGCAAAAAGAGAGAAAACTAATGACAAATCAGTTATCAATTCTTCGGACTAGCGATGAGAGTTTGATGCCTGAAGATCTAGTGGTGCTACAAGCAATGAATGATCGAATTAGAAAGAAGTATTTGGGTTAATTAGGATTAGTAGTAAAATGTAATGGTTTTAGGTTTAATTTAAATGTTATCTTTTGAAATTTGAAATTATGTCTTTTTTTATTGTAATCTTAATTTTAGTTTTTAAATATTATGTCTCTTTTTTGTTTTTTAAATATTATATTTTATAAAAATGTATTTATGTTATTAATTAAAAGAAAGTAAAAAAAAAAAAAAAAAAAAGCAAACTCAAAAAGAAATATGACATGAAAAAAAAAATTAGTGTAACATCTTGTTATAATATGAAAATTAGTGGAACACCAATTTAATTTTACATCTACCACACCAATAATTAAGGGTTATGTTAGGAAACAAAATAAAGATCGTGTCGTTCCAAATTCAACGCATAAATGTCAAATTAAAAAACTGCTACAAAATCAAAGTAAGTGGCGGTGAATAAGTGCATAAAAGGAAAAAAGAAAATTTTATTAAGTGGACCAAATCGAAATATACATCTGGCAGGTTGATCACTTGTTTTAATTGCTCTCTAGCTAGCGTTGAGTTTTATGATTGATACCCGCCTTAATAATCGGGATTAGATTCCCATGGTGGAAAGCATGCATGCATTAATTTATCAATGTAATTAAACAAACTGTCCCCATATAAGATATGAAACTAACAGTTTGGTAGTTAATTTGGTTAATTTGGTTAATCTCATCTTTCTTGTTTCGGAAGACCGAAGATGACGATGATATGCAACCTGGTACGATATGGTAGAAGGCAGATTCACACAATAGTCTCTAGAGAAATCATCAAACCCTCTTCTCCGACACCTTCCCACCTCAAAACTCACAATCTTTCAATATTGGATCAAATCACGCCCAACATATTTATGCCAATAGTTGCATTCTACCCAAACACCCGCGGGATTTATCGTGGTTCCCATGATAAGACACTTAACCTGAAGAACTCATTGTCTCAAACATTAACAAAGTACTATCCTTTTGCTGGTAGATTCGCTAAAGTGAAACCATCTATGTAGATTGCAACGACAATGGAGCTGAGTTCCTTGAAGCATCCATTGATACCACACTATCGGATTTCCTTCAAAACTCGTCGCATGAAGATCTTGACCAATTCTTTCCACATGGTCTAGTACATTTCAACTCCAACTACGGAGATGATGATCTTCAAAGCGATCAAGTGACTCCACTGGAGGTTCAGATCAACCATTTTGAATGTGGAGGAGTAGCGGTGGCAGTGTCGTTGTCACACAAGATTGCAGACGGAAGCAGTTTGGTTCATTTTATAAACGATTGGGCTAATATGACACGACGGAAAGATCATGAGTTCTCCATTGATGACCCCTTCTTTTTTCCTTTCCAATACATGAATCTAAATCCAAGTAGGTATATCATATCGAGACCTGATGATTGTCTCATCACAACAAGGTTCATGTTCCCCGGTTCAAAGATAAACGAGCTTAAACTGAAAGTGAAAGCCATGACAGCAGAATCTGGTCAACCGATCACAAACCCTACTCGTGTTGAAGTCTTGACCTGGCTGCTTTACAAGTGTGCAATGGCAGCGGCTACTAAAAATAATTCAGGATCTTTCAAACCCACTGGTGCTGTCCAAATAGCAAACCTTAGAGGCTTAATGATGGAGCAGCTTCCGGAAAAGAGCATTGGAAATTTGATAATGCCCATGGAGATTCTAATAAACAAGGAAAGTGAAATGAACCCCGAGTCATTCATTAGTGGGTTCAAGAAGCAAAAAATGCAATTCAAATCCCTAAGAAATATTGAAACTGTCTTTGGTGTTCTACACAGTGATTTAGAAGAACAGCTAAGAAAAGTTGATGACGTTTATATCTTTACAAGCCTGTGTGGATATCATGCATATGAGATTGATTTTGGGTGGGGAGAGCCTATAAAAGTAGCCCTTGCCGGAGTTGCGAGGAAAAATACCTTTATTCTTACAGATGCCCCGAACAAGGATGGTATTGAAGTACTCATGTGTTTGGGAGAGCATGACCTTGCCATTGTTCAAAGTGACCCCGAACTTCTTGCCTTTGGCTATTTTTAGGGCATCACTTTTACACTGATCGACTAATACTGTATATAGTGTTGGTACTTGGTAGTGTTACACTATTTATCGACATTAAATATGTTCAAAGTTTCATTTGTATAATTTGATATTAGTTATGTTTTGTTTATTTTATATAATTATAATGTTTATGTAATAGCATTATCAAATTTATGTCAAATGTAAGTCTGTTTTATTTAATAAATCCGTTTACGGATATTTTGTTCATAAAATTTTGATAATATAATTTATTAAGCATATGTAATAAAAGTATATTAGTCAAATTTATAAAACCAAATAAATATAAGGCTTGTTTTTATAAAATCATAAAAGTTGGATGAAGAAGAATATATCTAAAATATTCTTTTTATTGTTAATTATAATTTAATGAGTTGGAGTAATTTAGTGTTTATGTTATTTTTTCCGATATAATTATAAGTATAGTCTAAAAAAATAATTATAAGGATTAAGGATGGTCTTAATTCATATGGTGGTTGCACTAAAATTTCCAATTCTAATTTACTTACTTTTTTGTGAATTTTAGAAAATAACTGATAAGCTTTTTTTTTCTTCTATTTACATATAAACTATATTTGTAGGCGTCTCTAAACATCAATAAAATTATTATTATTATTATTAAGATCGTTAGTCTTTACTAAAAACGAAGTCGTCAATCACAAAATGACAATATTTTAAGGAGAAAATTTGTGAAATGATAAAAAAGGAGGGGTTGTTTGAAGATAATGATCAAGAATTAGGAGTTTTCGAAAAATAACCACGACTTCCGCAGAGAGGGCCTCTGCGGAAGTCCTTTACCTCTGAGGAACAAGAAAACTTTTTAAAGAAATGATGTGGCGGTGTAAAAAGAGAAAAATAAATTATAAAATTTTAATTCCACAAATGGTGCATCGTTCCACAAAGATGCCCTCTGCGGATCAATTCTTCAAAGGTACTCCTTTGAGAAATTGTTCTTCGCTAAAACAGAGCCTATGTTGTAACATCCCAAAAATAAGACTATAATTTTTTTTTTGTTTTTAAAATTAGTAAAACATTAAACCATACTATAGTCATAAAACCAAGGTTATCAAATGTATTGATACATCATTAATATCATAGTAAATCATAAAATGCTGAAACATGTGGTGTATGCTCTGCAATCATCCCAAGTTTTTCCTTTGAAAACAGAAATACCTTAAACAAAAACAGAAAACCGTAAGCACAAAAATTAATGAGTTCCCACAATACAATAACATACATATAATTGCGATGGGCTACCCCCATGGTTTTTCCTTGGAATGCCATGAGCCACACCCATGGTTTAACATCCAAGTGTCATGGGCTACCCCCATGGTCTTTTCCTTGGAATGTCATGGGATACCCCCATGGTCTAATTAATATCTAAGTGTCATGGGCAACCCCCATGGTCTTTCCCCTGAAATGACATAGGCTACCCCCAGGGTCTAATATCCAAGTGCCTCAGGCTACCCCTGAGGTCTTCCATACAAGTGTCTCAGGTTACCCTCGAGGTCTACCAAAAAAGCAAGCACATATACAACTATCTTGTCACCTAACAAGTAATGGGACGACCTTGGTGCCTTAGACCCATTGAAATTGTTGGGTTTAGAGTGTTACATCATATGGGCTTAATGTTATTTTTTGCTTACCCGGTTTGGGTTAGACTATATATTATGCAAGCATGTATAGCTTTAAAGATAGAGTTCTCATTAATAGCTTTTGTGTCACAACCAGGAAATTTCATCAAACACTCTATATAAACACTCCAAATGGTCAGCGAAAGATTGGAAACCCTGAAAATCCCGGTTTAAGTCCATTATGGGCATTTTCTTATTGGACCGAATGGACCAATAAGTCTCCAATTTGACTATTTTGGGCTTAGGACCCTTAAATGGACTCTAATTGGACCCACTTTGACAAAGCTTAACATTGTGAGCCATAATGGGCCTAAAATGAATTGAATTATCTTTAATGGGCCTTGTTGGGCCATAACAAAACAAATTAACCGTAATGGACCATAAAACCCACTCTTTTATACAAATTGGGCCGCGAACTATCTTAAAGGCCCAATGGGCCAAAAACCTTCTTAATGGGCTTCATGTTTCTGAAACATGAACAAGAATGGGCCAAACTAATTCACTTCTCTTTTCCTTAAACCCATTCTCGGCCTATGTATTAAAAAAAGGAAATGAAGGATTTATTTGGCATTTGATACCTCACTAATGTTTAGAGGTTAACCAAGCTTAAATCTCATACTTCTAAGGCTCTAAACCTCCATGTAATAACCAAGAATCTCTTTCCCCCTTCTCTTCTTATCACTCTCGGCCAACACCAACATTCCACCACCTTCATTTCTTTTCAAAATTCTCTCAAGAACACCTCTTTTTCCTCCATATTTTCGAGACTTTGTGTGGATCTTCAAGAGATTTTCATCTAGATCATCCTCTTTGGTAAGTTGTCATCATCTTTAAGTCTTTGATTTTCATCCTTAAACCAAAAACACTCCCTTACAAAGCTTTATTCCATGATCATGAATCCTAGGACATTAAAGTTTTGAAACTTCTTCTAGGGAAGCATTCAAAACCAAAAATCACATCACCTTATTCCATTCTTCTTCAAATATCGAAACATCAAACCCCAAGGTGAGTTCATACCCCCTTGTTTTTGTTTTTTACTTCTTTTTTTTTTTTTTTTTTTTTTTTTTTGGGGGGGGGGGGGGAGAGAATACAAGTATTATGTGATGATTTATGTGTGTTTGTATGCTATATGTGAATTCTTTAGTTTTTGGTTGTGATAATATGAAATATTTGTTATATTTTGAAATCTATAACAAAAAGGGTGAAATAGTCATGAACAAAAACTTGATAAACAAACATACATCATAGATCTAAGGGTTCTTAAGTTAAAGAGGTGAAAAACAAAACCAAAGAACCTTACAAGTGTCATTTTTGCAAAAATAACAAAGATTGAGTGTAAATTGTAAAATTTTGGTTTTATGGAGGTTATAAGTTGTTATTAGTATAAAAGCTGATTTTTATGAAAACCATACTTTTCAAAGGGTCAAAAACATAAAATTTGGCATATTGGGCTTTAAATTGGGCCTTACGAGATTTTGGGCCCAAGGTTGCGAAAAAAAGGAAACCTTGAGGGGCTGAAATGGAAAAATTAACAAACTATGAGTCTAAAATGTAAATAAACTTTTTTAGGGGTTAAAAATGAATATATTACTAAATTGGACTAAAAATGCAAAGTTTTTGATTTTAGGGTCAAAATCGTAAAACTTACGGAAATTGGACCAAAAATGTAACTTTTTGCAAATAAAGGCTGGAAATGACAAATGCAACATTTTTGGACTGAAATTACCATTCAAATAAAGTTTGGATGGAAATGTCAATAAAAATGGTTTAATGACCAAAAATGTAAATTTTTACAAAAAGGGACTAAAACTGTCATTTTTATAAAAACAGGTGCCATAATGGTTAATCTAAAAGTTTTTGGGCCAAATAAACAATTATAAATTTTGGGGTTAAAAATATCAAGTTTATAACGCATGGTTTTAAATATATATATATATATATATATATATATATATATATATATATATATATATATATATATATATATATATATATATATATATATAAATCAAACGTTAAAATATGAATGGTAATTTCTAAAATATGTCGTTATTACGAATAAACATTTAGCATACCACAAATACCAACAGTACGAACTTAAACTCGATAAAACATAAGCGATTCAAAAGTTGGGCTCAAATACCTTCTATATGTGCTATTGGGCCTTTGTGGCCCAATATCATTTTTATTGGGCCCGATATATTCACACATGTTTATTGGGCCTCCTGTGACCCAACTACATGCCTAAGGAACCCTCAATGGCTTTTACATATTATTGGGCCTCAGCGACCCACTGTCATTGCTAGTAAGGTCCAAATCAAACATATGCATGATGGGTCAACGTGCCCGTCTCATACTCGACAGCCTATAATAACATACATGATTAGTGGACCTCTGCTGCCCTCTTCTCTTCGTCTGTTAGGATTATCTATGTTATTCAAGTAAACATAAAATTAGGTTGATAAACAAGGTTATTCAAATTCAGTTGGATTTAGTGGGAAATAACGGGTGAAACTATTAAGTGTCGGTCGTAGTCTGTAGTTATAACCAGAGTCTCTTGGAGAGAGAACTTGAGTTTATATATAGATCTATATGGGGGTGACTCCCCCACACCTAAGCTGTTCGCTATAGTTAGACTCGGCCAATCTAGGGTGACAAAATCTTAAATCAATTATGACATTCGCTAGAATGCCAAGACAGACGAACTAGTCATTATTATGCATGGTTATAACGACTCACATAGAGATCCAACACCATCTAAGTAATCAGGGGAAAACATATTCATTCGTTGTGACGATACAATAATACAAAACTATCATACTATTTATATCGTAAAACATCGGGTTTTCCGGGGGAACAACATTATTCACTTCTATACACAATAACTACAATACGATAATCAATTTTGAATAACAATCACTTGACTTGTTTCGCAATCACATACACCTGCACTTATGGGATCATCGCATCTTTTCGCAAACAGTTTTTATACATAAAATATCGGATTTTCTGGGTTTTACAAACGATACGAACAAGTTTTATATCAAACATGCTTATGAAGTTACCAAAATTATATATGTTGACGTTTTCAAAATAACTTGTATTCTCAGGTAACAGATAAGCCGAAGAACAATACCAAGTATGTTAGGATGTTATGTTTTGAAAAATTCTTAAAGAATTTATGTTACGGATGTGTAATGTTTAAACAATGTACTTGATGTGAACAATGTCAGTTGTATTATGTAATGTTGGTGATGTATGTGTTGTTCGTGTATATTCATTGTGATGATATTTCAATTTAAGTCACGCGAGCCCTCGGATGTTTCCGACGTCTAGTTTGGGGATGTGATAGGTTGGTATCAGAGCTCTGTTTATAGTGAACTAGCATATCTAACCGTACATTGATATGCAACTACAAACACAATGAAGGGACTAAATAACTCTGAACAGAGTAAATAAAAGAACTTACCTATGTGCGTGTTTTAGAATAACAGCCTAATACTAAACAATAAAAGTCTTTGGGGGATTTGAACGTTATGATTTAACCTGGGCAGTTATGTAATCGTACTTGGGATCAATGTAGCCTAATCAACTACATTCATTCAAAGTACGATCAACATATGTTTGGGAATAATCGTGATAGTCAATAAACCGAAAACTTACCATCTAACTATCCAAATAGGTTAGAGGAACTAAACAAATATATATATATATAACAATAATGAACACTATAAGAGTACTTAAGAATACTATCCTTATACACCCCAATGTACACACTTCTCACACCCACACCTCCCACGCAGGCGATATGGCGGGAATACAACAAGATGACCCTTACTATCAAGCTCTAGTAGTCTATGGGAAGATTGAGGTTGGTCTAGATGACAATCCTGAAGAAAACCCTGAAGGAGGCCTTGCAATGGGTCAGGAGCTGGAACCCAGAGTGGAACCGGAAGAGTATGTGGTAACTGATTACGAATATGATGATTTTGACCGGGAGTCAGATGAAGGAAAGGACGTTAAGGAGACACCTAGTAAACCTCGCCCATAGAAAGCCCTATCAGACCCACACACGATTTAGGAAAGTGATACAGACTACATACACTCTCTTGAGAAAGAAATAGCCAATCTCAAGCATCAACTCTTTGTGGCCGAAGATAGAGCCGTTCGATCCAAGCAAAGGGAAGAAGTAATCACCAAGGAGGTGAATGAACTGGCTAAACTCCTGATACACCAACTTGACGATTGAGTGTCATCGTCATCATAATTGATAGAACGTACTCTACTACTTGCTATTATAGGTTCTACAGTATGTAGAACCAGCCGTATCTCCTACTAGTATTGTGTCTCTATTGATATTATTGTTGGGTTTTGAGCATTCTAACACTCCTAAGTGTACATGCAACCCTAAATACCTTGGATCTATGTTTTTTCTATTATACATACAAATAAGAACATCCAAGGTATTATCCTAATCTAGCATACAAAACAATGACTATAGCAAGATAGAATACATACCTCTTGATGTAGCTTGATGTCTTCAAGCTTTAAGAGCTTAGCCCCAATAGTGTGGAAGCCTCAAGTGGAATCACAAATCACCAAAACACCTTGGAAGACTTTAGAGAATATGGATACTTGGTTCTCTCTAGTGAAATAGGCTAGCCCTTCTTAGTGTACCACACTAGTGCCCATTTCACCAACCAAGGACATCTTTATATAGTGTGGAGGATTAGGGTTAAACCCTAATACCCATGACCTTTCATTTCCTAGGATCCATGGGTTAAACACTCCATGGACTATCCATGAAAGCTTAGCCTAACCTAAATGAACTTGGCCCATTCCAGGTATATAAGAGTCCATATTTAATTAGTTCCTTTTGATCACTTAATTAATTAAAAATTAATTCTTGATCAATACTAATTAAATAATATGATTCCATAATAATATATTAGAACTTATAATATATTAATATTAATCATAAACATACTATTCTCAAAAGATTATCCATATAAATTGTGTCGGTGAAGTGCAACCCAAATGGACCATGCCGGGTCGGGTCAAGTACATACCAAATATAGTTATGGACTTAGAAATTAATCCAATAGTCTCCCACTTGGATAAGTCTAAAACTATTATTGCGTATGACTTAAAACCTAACTGGCAATCGTAGCTCTTAAAGCCGCTGTCGAACTCTGACCTTGTCGATGAACTCTGACCTTTGTCAATGACTTGTCCATTAGATAAGGGATCATATATTCCTCCATTCTAGATATCATACGGACTGAGACATGGATTATAATCATTCTCTCTGTCCATTTGTTGTTTCCCAATTTCCGATTTATGACGACTGACTAATTGAACAAATCAAATCAGTCCTGGCCCGGCCGAGCACTTCCATTTGTCATCATCAAATCATCGAGGGGCCCACAGATATCGCTTTTATCCCGAAGGTAAAAGGAATGGATAAACTTCGACTCATATGGCTTGTTCTACTACTTGTTGAATCATACACAAAGGCACGTTTTATAGCACCGAGTTACCAAATGCGTTTTCGTGCAATCAATGTACAACCAACTCATAGTAACAACTCATATCTCTAGGTTTGAAGAATATAAGATATTATCGTCTCATGATCACTCATGATAAAATCCATGAAGTGATTCCAATGAGCGCGGGTTGAATCCAATACTCAGAACTTATGAGCACTCATGAGTGTTGTAGCCCTTTGTCCAACACCTTAGACCTCTACAAGCCAACCCATGACAGTCTTAATTCATATCTACTTCCAACATATGACCGACTGTGGATGGTTTGAATAACTTAGTCATTCCGGAAGAATAACCTAGTTTATTTAGGAAGTCAAAACATGCAAAGTGAAACACAATAATAATTGAATCCAATATGGTATCAAAACCTATGAACATAAATAAAACACCTTTTATTTATCACCATATGATTACACATTATTCATTGTATACTGTTTCAGCTATCAACTTTATTCTTGAATTTAAAACAATAGTTGTCCCATGCTCCAAGCATGTACACTATGTTTTCTTAAACACTAGTCATGCCATACACCAAGTATGCATACTATGTTTGTTTTATGATCTTCACTTTGTGAACTAGATCAATTGAACATAACTTCAATGATTCTCTTTTCACACTCCCAAATCCTTACTGCAAATGCAAGAATTCCAAATTCATGCCATTTACTGAAATCTGTTAGATTCTAAACTTATATGCATTGATTCTCTTGTAATGATTATGCACAAAGTCATAAAGACTTGACAACAAACATTACAGAGCATTCCAAAGGAGATCAACTCCTTGGAAAAATCCTTCTTGCATTAAGTTTCCTTAATCTTACACAGATTGAAAATTCTAACTTCGAAACATTTCCAGATTCCATTTTGACTATCACTTCTGAACAAGAGTTGCCTCCTTACAGATTATGTCAATATGGTCCTTCCAGAATTATCACTATACTTCCAACTATCCTTGAGCAACCAATCTTTGGTAAACCTTAGATTGTCCTCGACAATTGTTTAATCCTTTTAGTCATATCCAGTTCTAAACCTTTTCCCTTCTTAATGCCCCAGGCATTTGGAAAATTTTAGAAAGGATGAATATAGCACATGTAATCGATCCTATATCCGAAGCATATGGGACACGATTCATGATGTCTCACATAAAGACTAAACCAGTCTTTTGCTATAATATTTCCATTTCTATTTGCCAAGTTCTCATAATTCAGATTATGAAAAGGGATGCCGTAATCATAATCGAATTTTAGAACGCAAATAATGGACCCATATACAGAATTTCCTTATGTTGAGCCATTCCAACATGAAATTCATATATATATCCTTGACTAAATGATTAAAACCTCACGATCTAAGCTTATAGATTTGAGATGAAGTATAATTTCCTCTCCCTTAATTATAGCAAAACAACTCTTTCCCAATTGAAACTTTTGTTTTCTATAATTAACATTGCTAACTTGCAATACTTATCATAATTATCATGCTCCCACTAACATGATGATTATTAGCATAACACTTATGCTCCCACTAGCTTTGACATGTACTCAAAAAGCTCGACTTCTAGAAATTAATACTTTATTGACTTTCTTACCAAAGTTCAGATTTCTGATACTAGATTGTTTTGATAAGACTTTATCAAAAACATACACCTTCCCTTAGATAGCACATGTGTGTGTCTAAACAATTATGAAGATGGATGCCGTAATCATAATAGTTAGACCTTTTTGCTAATTCTCACAAGTCCAGGTTAGTGTGCCGGTAAACCACACACGCTCCACTAACGACTTTGAGAATGCAAATATCACAATTTCTATCTAGCTAAAATCTACTTAGTGAAAGTGTTTCCTCACCATCATTTTCATGAATCGGAGAGAAACCTTATGACACTTAGATTTAATGGTGTATGTGTTCTTATCCATGTGAATTGTCAAAACCATAGTCACAAGACAAGAATAATGACAAATCCAAACTCATATGGATTGAACTCAATCTTAACTTCTTGCCACCTGGCAGCTCAAGGGCCTACCATTGCTTCCAAGTTGTTGTGCAACACATTGAGAACTTTAAGAACTCATATGCAAATAACTGGAATGGGCACAGAATATGTCAACATGATAGGTTATAAACCGCAAGTCGTGTGCTAAAGAAGAACTTCAGGTTTTATTCTTGATTAGTTCTTGAGACTTTCAAGACCTTTAAGACTCCCACTGTCCTCTTGACCTATAAGACTCCCTTGTTAAACATGCAGGAGACAGTGTGGATTCTAATCAAGACAAACAATTCACAAAATTGGCCTTAGTTGGTCTTTATTTTATCCAAAACATCACAACTTACCAATTTCAAATGTACAAGAGTAGAAACTTTTACTCTTACATTTGACAAGTGTTTTAAACCATCTTTAAGACATGTCACTCAAATTACAATCTTGGAGTATGACTCTAAGACTTGTATTGGAACGAAGTATGAGTCATCTTCTTGATTTAACCACTTCAACAATTCAAGTTCCTTTTCTTAGTCATAAGAATGCACTAAGATTTTCCTTAGAGAACTAATTGTGCTATGGTTTCTTAATCATTAAGATGATCACAAAAACTAATACTAAAGTACTCTCCCATCTTTTCAGATTTGAGAAACTTTTATCCTTCTGCCTAATTTGATTCTTCTTATTCACTCTGCCTTACATTGGAACCTTTTTCCAATGTCTCAGAGTTACACTTAAGCATGTAAGTATAATCATATTTACTGAGCTTTAGTAAACTATGACGAATAGTTTTACCAATCTTTTGTGGTGGACTTAATCAGTGCACAAGAATGTGTACTCGATCCCTTAGTCCTTCACTTAACTCACACATTCATGTGAGCAAGTAATTAGTCTTAAATTTCCAATACTTGAAGGTTCTCATTCATCTTGCTATACAACTTGCATGATTCCAAGTTCCGGTCCAATTGAAACTTGGGTGATGAGAATCTTTCCTTATTTGGTAAATCTAGACATTACCACAAATGAAAGATTCAATTTCATATTTCCACTCTTGCTATTAATGGAATCATATAAGCAACAATTTTTCCTCAAATGCCATTGTAAGGATATTTTAAAATAAATAAAATCAAAAATTTCCTTTTATTTTAAAACTTTGCGGAAAAACTTGTCCTTACAATTCATATGAAAACTTGTTGTTATCTATTCCTAAGCAATATCTCATAACTCCTAAGAAGTAGCTCAAGAATCCGATATTCAAACTATGCGATAGAAATCCATCTATGCGATCAGATTCAGCATATTCTTTCTTTAAGTTTCTTCACTTTTCTTTGATTCTTAAAACATCACCATGTGACCCAGTCACATCATGTATCAAGAATCTCAGAATAGAAACTTAACAGAGTTAGATAGTGGACTTTACCTGAAGTAGAGTCAAACTTATTGACTTTAACATCCTTAGGTAAATCTGGCAGCTTCGCAACCAATGACCCTTCCTTTGGCAATATAAACATATGGACCCTTTGATAA